GCCCCTGACCTCACTAAACTTCCTTCTATGCTGTCCAAACTGTGGGGCTTTAATCCACGGTGGATGTCGATGTCCTTGACGTCCTACATGTCCTGTCTAGTCCCTGTCGCGCCCGCCTTGGCCCCCAAGCCACGTGGGGGAGGGGAGGTGATCTCACAACCGCGGCATTTGCGACCCCGAAAACCCGGGTGCCGCTCCTGCCTTGGCTGCCGAGCCACGGGGAAAGGGGAGGTGATCTCACAACCGCGGCGTTTGCGACCCCGAAAACCCGGGTGCCGCTCGCGCTTTGGCTGCCGAGCCACGTGAGGAAAAGGATGTGATCTCTACGGCCGCGGCGTTTGCGACCCCGAAAACCCGGGTGCCGCTCGCGCTTTGGCTGCCGAGCCACGTGAGGAAGGGGGTGATCTCCACGGCCGCGGCATTTGCGACCCCGATAACCCGGGTGCCGCTCCTGCCTTGGCTGCCGATCCACGGGGGAAGGGGAGGTAAACTCCACGGCCGCGGCGTTTGCGACCCCGAAAACCCGGGTGCAGCTCGCGCTTTGGCTGCCGAGCCACGTGAGGAAGGGGGGGTGATCTCCACGGCCGCGGCATTTGCGACCCCGAAAACCCGGGTGCCGCTCCTGCCTTGGCTGCCGAGCCACGGGGAAAGGGGAGGTGGTCTCCACGGCCGCGGCATTTGCGACCCCGAAAACCAAGGTGCCACTCCTACCTTGGCTGCCGAGCCCCATGGGGAAGAGGGGTGATCTCCACGGCCGCGGCGTTTGCGACCCCGAAAACCAGGATGCCGCTCGCGCTTTCGCTGCCGAGCCACGTGAGGAACTTGGGGAGGGAGAGGGAGGAAACCTTGTCAGAAAAGCGCCGAAATAAATGTTGCGTTAATTGTTTTATTTCCCCTTTAATGTAAGGTCCCTAGCTCTGGCTCCTAACTGTCTCACCGCCACGAGAGTTGCTCCCCGTAGGGTTCGGGCCGAGTCTAGTCTCACCAGCTCCTCCTGTACCTCCGTCGTCATGGAGTCCCGTCTATCCATGAGGGCGGGACCGCATGGGTCTCCTTGTCCTGGGCAGCCGGTAGTGGCACAGCTTGGTTGTGCTCCGCCAAGTCCCGGACACGAGGTGTCCTCGCTATCACTTTCACTCCGAGACGCACGTCCGATCGCTACTGATCCCAAAAACCAACTCCCCGATCGGCGAGCAGAGGGGCGTTCGCGAGCCGTCCTCGGCTGCCGATCCCTTTGCTGCTCGTCGGCGTTCTCGCCTTCGGCCGGCACGAGAGCTTCGTGTCTGCTTCTGGCTTCGGCACATTGTCTGCGCGTCGGCGTTGTTGCTAAGGGCGCCCTTTGGGTGTAGATCGCCGATGCTGTTCGGCTCGGTTGGCATTCGTTAGTTCTGTACGTCGCTCGGCCGTTGTCGCTGACGGCGGGCTAGCTAACGGCGGGCTAGCTAACGGCGGGCTAGCTGACGGCGGGCTAGCTAGCCTGTCCGTGTACATGTCGATCTGGTGGCGCAGCCCTTATGCTAATATTTACAAATGCCCTTCATGGGACTTTCTGCTGTCTCTTATACTACCTTATTGCCTACAAACGTATTACTCTAGTTTTATCTTAATCTTAACCTATAGAGTTATATATATAATATGTACATTTTGTGAGGGCTGAGTTTCGGTTCCTCACAACTTTACCACGAATACAATGAGTCTGAACGACGTTCGCACACAACGTCAACGTGAGCAAGACGAGAGACGGCTCTCAGTACGAAGAAATAACGCGCACTTCTCTTTTAAAGCAACCGAAAATAATGCAAGTTCTGATCAAGCGCGGGCAATTACCCCCAACTTGACCGAGTTCTTAAATGTAGCGAGCAAGAGAGCGCGTTCTTCCTCCCCCTCGCTACCATCGACGTCTCTGCAGCCAAAGAGCGCTGAAAGTGCTCCAATGCAGGTATGCAATAACCTAAGCTCATCAGCAGTAACTAGCACCGCAATTTCTTTAACAACGTCAACAACAACCGCAACCGTATCGACTGCGCGTTTAATGACATCATCAGCTAGCAGCGCAAATAATAATAGGTTTGCCGCTGCGCTGCCCCAGAACAAAACCAATGAATGTGCAAAGCCGGCTGTGCAGACTGGTATGGATCGCTACATCCAAATCAAAAGGAAGCTGAGCCCTTTAAATTCTCAACGCAATATAACCCGTAACAATGCTAGCCTATCTGGAATAGAAACACCCATGAAGTCAAACCGATTTAAAATCTTGGAAGACGCCACTGAATCCACTGAAGTCGAGAAAAGGAAGCCAAAACCTCCGCCTATTTATATTCGAGAAAAAAGTTCCAATGTTCTTGTCAACAAAATTATCGAGCTTATTGGAAAGGGTTATCCTTTCCACAAAATACCTCTAGTAAAGGGCAACATCCAAGAAACAAAGATTCAAATGAAGTCTGAAGATAATTAGAGAGTATTATCGAAATATCTTTCCGAGAATAAAAAGAACTTTTATACGTATCAGCTAAAAAGTAGCAAGGGCCTGCAAGTCGTACTTAAGGGCATAGAGTCCGACGTAACGCCTGCAGAGATAACAAAGGCGCTTCAAGAGAAGGTATTTAACGCTAAGACAGTCTTCAACATCCTTAACAGGGATAGAAAGCCGCAGCCACTCTTTAAGGTTGAGCTCGAACCAGAAAATAAGCCCCTAACGAAATACGAAGTGCACCCCATTTACAATTAATTTACCGCAGAATTATAGTATAGGAACCGCACAAACGCAATGGCCCAGTACAATGTGCGAACTGCCAAGAATATGGCCATACAAGGTCATACTGCAAACTGCGCCCGGTGTGTGTAGTTTGTGGAGATCTTCATGACTCCGCACACTGCCCAGCGAGCAAAGATGACTGCAACTCGAAAAAGTGCGGCAACTGCGGTGGCAATCACACTGCTAACTACAAAGGCTGCCCTGTTTATAAGGAGCTGAAAAGTCGCATCCACCAGAGAGGAACTGCCGCCCGCACCCAAAATAAACAGATGACAGCTTCCAGATGAAACCCTGAAGTCTTCTTCTCGACTGCAGCCAGATCCTTACTAGGACCCTTAAACTCTGATAAAAATGTGACTTACGCAAGCGCTTAAAAATCAGGACTGGCTTACCCTGTTGTAACGACCTGATTCTTTATTTCTGCTAGCTACGTAAACGTGCGGCAAGCTCAGAGAGGTTGTGAGTTCGTTCCACCAAATTTATATTGAGTGACCGCCCGTGACCAAAGGATAACGCCAGAAATGATTAGGTTGGTGCTGGTGTATTGTTTCTCTACAATATAGCTTTATTGCTATTAATCTGCTGCCCGTTGTCGCTGTCTTCTGCTGCGTTGCTCCTGGCTTCCAGAGTTCAGCCTGGACTTTGTCGGCAAGGTGTATCGCCTAGCAGGTAGAACAAAGTTCTCCCTTATCGCCTAGCCACCTTTATCGCCTGACACCGCGCAAGGACTCCCTAAGTTTGATTTTACCACGACCTAGCACCGTTGGATCTCAGCGTTGTAGCCTCAGCCTTGTAGACTTGTCGTCGTTCGGCGTCGCGATCTTGATCCTTGGGCACTTCGGTTTCGATGTTTACTTATTCCGCGTTCACGCACTCGCTCTGATTCTCGCACTCGTACTGCCCCGAGCTGCGCTTGCGCCGTCCTTTTTATAGGCGCTGTAGGTGCCGTTATTTCCCTCGGGTCCAAGGTCCACTGAGGTACCGTTAATTCACGGTGTGTCCTCTTTGGGCGGGTCCGAAGTCCGCCAATTTACCGTATGACCCCGTTGCCCTTGCCGGGCGCAGGTCCAAGGTCCATCGAGGTACCGTTAATTCACGGTGTGTCCTCCTTAGGCGGGTCCGAAGTCCGCCAATTCACCGCATGACCTCGTTGCCCTTGCCATATGAGGGTCCAAGGTCCGAATGTTTCCCGTTTGACCTGGATGCCCTTCATTTCTCCGGCTTTCTCGCCTCCTCCGCTGTTGCTAGGCCGATCTCCTGCATCGGGATTCGTGGGGAGTTTATGACTCCTCACATTTCCCCCTTCCTTCGGAAACGTAATGAAAGTGGTGACTTTCCCCGCCCTTTATGTTTAGACTACTCGAATTCCCCGCCTGACTTGCGTGTTAGATGTTCCCCAGACAGTTCCCCGAAAGAATTAACCTTTCCCCAGACTGTTCTCCTAAAAGACTTTACCCGTACAGCTCCTTGAAAGACTTGAACTTTCCCGCGACTGTTTCCCTAAAAGACTTTTCCATGCAGCTCCTTGAAAGATTATTTCCCCAGACTGTTTCCCTGTTCCCCGGACAGTTCCCCGTTCTCCAGACAGTTCCAGTTCCCCAGATAGTTCCCAGTTCCCATTTCCCAGACAGTTCCCAGTTCCCCAGACAGTTCCCTGCGTAGAATTCGAATTTTCCCGCCCAGACATTTCCCCAAACTAAAAGTCACCATTCCGTTTTCCCTCCGTCCGGCAACTCCCTGGAATCTCACCACGATCGCGTTTATCGATTGTGGGTTCCAGTGTTGCCATCGTCGTTGCCTTTTCGTTGTCTTAAGTTGCCATTTGGATTTTTGAACATAGAAATAACCAATTTTCTTAACCCATCGGTCGCAACTATCGATCGACCGCCTATCTCGGCGCCCCCGTCCCTATTACCTATGCCCGGCAACTCCCTTATTCCAAAAGGCAAATAAACAAACCAGTTTGTGATTTTAAAACCATTAATGGCTTTTATTAGCCCCTCAGGACTCTCACCACCCCGTTTGATACCCGGATGCGGTAGCGGACGCCGTCTACCACCAGGAGTTTGGCCCAGCGGCTGCTACGGGCTCTCCTCTGCTGCCTGTTGGCCTCGGCTGCCACCCTGGGCGGCCACTCTTCCTCGGCCATCTCCTGCCAGCGGCTGCTGTCCGCCGAATGTTGGTGGCTCACTGACGGCCTGGCTGGTGGGGACCGCGGCTCCGGGCACGACGTCAGCCTGGCGACTTAGGGCCCCTTCTCCCAGAACTCCGGCTCCCCACCGAACCGTTTTGCTGGCAACGGCGATGGCGTTGGCACCCACGGCGGCGGTGGAGGTGGTGGTGTCTCCGCTCCGTGCCGTGGTGCCTGGGATGGCCGTGGTGCCTGCGGCGGTGACGGTGGTGGCGGCGGCGGTGCTGCTGCCCCGGGCGGCGACGGTGGTGGCGGTGGCGGTGCTGCTGCCCGAGGCGGCGACGGTGGTGGCGGTGCTGCTGCCCGAGGCGGCGACGGTGGTGGCGGTGGCGGTGCTTGCAGCGGCGGCTGCTCCGGAGGGCCTGGCCGTGCCCAGATCGCTGCCTCTTCGGCCTCAGCCTCATCCAGCCGCTTTTGCCACTCTCTGGCTGCTGTGGCTGCCCGTGCCACCGCCCGCTGCGCGAATACTCGCCGCACCACCTCTGCCCGGGTTGCGAATATACGCTTTGCCTCCTCCGGGCGGCCCGATGGCGCTGCGTCGCCCAACCGGATCCGCCCGAATCCGGCTGTGGCCCTCTTTATTCGGCGGAATGCCATCCGGGCCTTCGCCGCCCGACGAGGCTCGTCCTCCTCGCCCGAGGAGACCTCTGGACTCACCGTCTCCGTCCCGGTGTCCTCCTTGGCTTCCTCCTCCTCCTCCTCGGACGACGACAGGTCGATAGTTGCCACCTCGGCCTCCTGCCCTGCCGGCCGGACGCCGGCCTCCTCCTCCTCCTCCAGCTCTATATCCGTGATGCGCTCCTCGCCCTCCCATTCGGGGTTCGGCGACGGGGACCGCGACACCAGGAGGGACGCCAGCAGCTGGAGTGCGGAACCTGAGTCCCGCCTCCATCTCGCCGCTGGCTGTTGTTTCAATAGGCCCGTCTTGTGGCGCTCGCGCGCTGACGAAACCTCGGTTGCCCATGTTTCCGGTTCCGTTACCCGCGGCGGCCTTTGGACTTTCCCTTGCTACGGGCTCCGACGGGTCCCCGCTTTGGTACGCGTTACCCGGTAACGGTATCCGCATCCTATGACCCTCCCTCTCCCGCTCTCGCGCTCCTAATACATCTGTGTGAGTTCGATACTGTATATCGTCCTCTCCCTCTCTTTGGATTCACAGTGCGCCCCTACTAAGTCCGACTTCGATCCTCTGTCTTGGCCATCAATAAATTGTTTTTTTAATTGGCTAACGTGGGCGGTTTTTTCTTTGCCAGTCTTTTCATGCCGCAAATTGCATATCACCGGCGAATTAAAATTTATTATCTTAAAAGGCCCGTCATATTTTGGTGCAAATTTTGCTGCGAATCCTTCTGCAGCCTTGGACAGATGATGTTCTTTAGCCCAGACTGTGTCACCGATGTTCGGTTTCCATGGGCGTCTACGCAGATTGTAGTGGCGTGCCTGATCCTGCGCTGCCTTTTCCATATTTCGCCTCACCAGCTCGAAGATTTCTTTCAGCTTCTGTGCGTTCTCGGCCGGAGTTTGCGTTTCCCTTCCTGTGCCGATTGTTCCTTCGTCGTACAGTGCGCTGGGTAACCTAGGCTCTCTCCCTTGCGTAATAAAAGCAGGCGAATATCCCGTGGATTCAGCCACGCTCGTATTTACGGCCAACTGCAGTTCCTGCCACTTTTCGTCCCAAGTCCTCTGGTCTGTCCCGGTGAACTGGGCGATCATCGTTTTCACCGTCCTGTTGGCTCTCTCCGTCGGGTTTTCCTGGGGCGTGTATGGGGCCTTAAACTGGTGTCGGACGCCTAATTCACCCAGGAATTTTTGAAACGCCCTGCTGGTAAACTGAACGCCATTGTCTGTAATCAGCACCTTGGGAACACCGTATCTTGCGAGGATTCGCTCGCGGATCGCCTTTTCCAGAGTTTCCGTCGTTGCCCTGCGCATTGGCACCATTTCGGTCCACTTGGAGAACCTATATACCAGCACTAGTAGCATAGAATTCCCGTGCTTGGAGCGGGGCAGTGGTCCGACGAAATCTGCGCACACAGTGGCCCACGGCTCTTCCGGTACTTGGGTCAGCATTTTTCCGGCCGCCTGTAGTTGGCTTGGCTTATATCGTAGGCAGCTCTCGCAGTTTTGCACATATTTCCTTATGTCGCGGTGCATTCCCGGCCAATGGTATCTTGCTGCGACTCTGGCAATTGTTTTCCGACTGCCCATGTGGCCAGCTGTCGGTGAGTTGTGGTTCTCCGACATTACCCGCCGCCTGGACCCCGTTGGCACGCACAGCTTCCATGATGTGACATCCTCGTTGGCTGCTCTGTGCGGTATGTGGCGATATAGCTGGTCGGCTTCTGTCATGTAGTCTGGATATTTTTGGGGATTTTGGGAAATCTTGCTCCGCATATCCCTTATCCAGTTACACTCGCCGGTTTCCTTGTGCTGTTCCTGTGTTTTTACCCGTCGACACGTTTCTGGCAGTGGCTGTCGTGATAGTGCGTCTGCTACTATATTCAGCTGGCCCTTTCTGTACGCGATCTCAAAGTCATATTGCTGCAGTTCCAGCGCCCATCGTGCGATTCTTCCGGTTGGGCTTTCGATGCTATTCAACCACTTCAGTGCCATATGATCCGTGATCACTTTGAAGTGGTAGCCCTCCAAGTATGGCCTTAACTTGCGTATGGCCCACACAGTTGCCAGGCATTCCTTCTCAGTCGCTGAGAAATTTCTTTCCGAACCATTCAGGGACCTACTGGAATATGAGATCACCCTCTCGCCTTGGTCGGAATTCTGTGTGAGAACAGCACCGAGCCCATAATCGCTGGCGTCGGTCTGCAGCACAAATGTCTTTGTGAAATCTGGGCATGCTAAGAATGGGTCTGCGATTAGCCTGGCCTTGACAGCTTCGAACGCCTGTTGATGGTCCTCTGTCCATTCCCATTTTGTGCTTTTCCGGAGCAGGCTATTCAACGGATGCACCAATGTTGCAAAATCTGGCACAAAACGCCTGTACCACGACGCCACTCCCAAATATTGTCGTAACTCCTTAACGTTGGCCGGTGGTTTTATTAAGGCAATTGCCGACACTTTTTCTGGGTCTGTTCCGATGCCTTGGTCTGTTATGCGATGCCCCAAGTATTGGAGTTCCTTTCTAAAAAATTTGCATTTTTCCGCATCTACTTTCAGGTTGGCAGCCCGTAGTCTCCTAAACACTTCCTTCAGGTTTTCCATATGGTCTTCGAGTGTTCGTCCGATGACGATAATGTCGTCCTGATATGCGAAGGCATGCGGCATCATTTCTGGTACAATGACCTGATCCAATGCCCGCTGGAATGTTGCCGACGCGGAGTGTAGGCCAAATGGCATCACCTTCCATTGGAACAGGCCCTTCCCTGGTACAGTAAACGCCGTATACTGCCTGCTGTCTGCCTCCAAGGGGATCTGCAGTAACCGTCCTTTAGATCGAGACTGCTGTTGTACTTCGCCTCACACAGCTGGTCCAGGATGTAATTGATCATCGGCATCGGGTATGCGTCCTTTATGGACCTCGCGTTTATTTGCCGGAAATCCACACACAGCCTCCACTTTCCAGTCTTCTTTCTCACCATGACTATTGGTGAGCTGTAGGGACTCCTGGACGGCTCGATACATCCTTTTTCCAGCAGCTCGTCTACCTTGGGATTTATCTCACCCTGAATTTTTGGATTTTTAGGGTAGTACCGTTGTTTGACTGGTTGGTCGTCCTTCATGGTGATCCTATGTACGGCCACGTTGGATGTACCCTTTATTCCTTCCAGTTCGTCCAACTCAGCTTTTAAAAATCCCTCCACATCCTCTTCCGCAAATCTTTTGGGTGTTTCAACTATTGCCACTGACAGTTTCTCCTCTAGCCATCCTCCTCGTCTATTCTTTGCCGGTATCAACGCGCTGTGTCCTGCGCACTCGACTTCGGCCCCGATTCTGGTGAGGAAATTCCATCCCAACACCAGGGCGTCGATCAGTCCTGGTAAAATCAGCAGCTCCATTGAAATTGTTTTCGTTCCCAGTCCAATTTTGGTCTCCAGCTGTGATCTTATTTCCCCGCAGCGACCGTCTGCCATCCGTACTTGCCTTCTCGTGGGTCCGACCCTTCCTGCCGCCTGCAGCCTGTCCGCCAGCTCTTCGCTAATAAAACTCAAAAAGTTCACTTGTGGAATCAGCATACCAAAAACCGAACACGGCTCAGCAGAAACAATTCCCGGAGCAGTCAAAAAGCAACTTTGAAGATATAATATACAGCTTGCAGAAAAGCCTTACGGAGTTTATGACGTTTATGCGCACAACTATGCAAGATTTAATGCGAATCCAAAATCTATTGATTCAAATGCTGGTTTCACAACAATCCAAATAATGACTTCCCTAAGGATATCTACGTGGAACGCTAACGGCGTCTCACAGCATAAAGTTGAGTTAGCTCAATTCCTACTCGACAACCATATCGACGTAATGCTGCTTTCAGAAACACACCTTACAAACAAATACAATTTTCAACTACGAGGTTATTCATTCTGCAGAACAAATCATTCAGTTGGTAAAGCACATGGTGGGACTGGAATTCTAATCAGAAGCCGTATTAAGCACCACTATCATAACAAATTTGCAAAAAATTACCTACAGGCCACATCTATAAATATACAAATAAATACTGGCAACCAACTTACACTAGCCGCCGTATACTGCCCCCCTCGCTTCACTATAGCCGAAGATGAGTTTATGCAGTTTTTCATCTCACTAGGAGACCACTTCATAGCAGCAGGGGACTACAACGCCAAGCACACACACTGGGGATCAAGTCTCGTGACTCCAAAAGGAAAACAGCTCTATAATGCAGTTATAAAAGCCAAGAACAAGCCGGACTATGTTTCTCCTGGCAGACCAACATACTGGCCGGCAGACCCAAGAAAACTACCCGATTTAAAAGACTTTGCAATTACCAAAAACATTCCTAAAAATCTGATAAGCGCCGAATGCCTCTCGGAGCTTTCATCTGATTACTCTCCTTTCCGGTTTATTCTACTCCGACATCCAGGCGCATTGGAGCAATCGTTCAAATTGACATCACAGAAAACCAATTGGGTTAAGTACATGAAATATATTAGCTCACACATTGAGCTAAGTCCTCATCTCAACGATGAAGCCAACGTAGACAGATTTGTTAACACACTGGAGTCTGTACTCGTCTCTGCAGCTCGAGTTTCAACACCCCAAACTACAAGTACACAAAGCAAACAAAAGAAGACAAATCTACAAATAGGACAGCTCGTCCTCGAAAAGCTACGCTTACGTCGAGAGTGGCAACTCCACAGATCGCCAACTGCTAGGCAACGCTTAAAGTATGCCTCACGTCAACTCACAAAAGCTTTACAGCAAGAAGAAGCACATGTCCACCGACGCTACATAGAGCAATTGTCAACATCTAGTACAAAACATTCACTATGGAGAGCTCATCCTACTCTAAGCTCACCGAAAGTAACCGTTATGCCTATTAGAAATCCCACAGGCGGCTGGGCACGCAGCAATGCAGACAGAGCCAGCACGTTTGCCAACCACCTTAAAAATGTCTTCCAACCAAATCCTGCCACTAGTGCGTTCACCTTGCCGACTTAACCATATGAGCCTCAGCGTCAACATGAGCCAATTGAGTTTCGCCCAAATGAAATCGTTAACATCATCAAAAATCAGCTGAATCCAAAAAAATTCCCTGGGCTGCGACCTCATAACTCCCAAAATGATCATTGAGCTCCCATATTGCGCCGTTTCCACTATCACCCAGCTTTTTAATGCCATCGCAAAACTTGGACACTTTCCAGTGAGATGGAAAACGTCGATTATAATAATGATAGCAAAGCCGGAAAAAGACCACACAATTCCCACGTCGTATAAGCCTACTTTCATGCTCATCTAAACTCTTTGAAAAATGCGAATTGACTCGGATAAACACATACCTAAGAATCCAGGAAGGAATTCCGTCACATCAATTTGGGTTTCGTTAAGCACGGAACAATTGAGCAGGTCTACCGGATAACATCAGAAATTCGG